CCTATTTTAATTGTTATTTTTCGAACACATCAGTTGTCTGAGTCTTCTTGGTTGGTACCCACTTTGATCTTCCTTTGTCGAGGATTTCATAAGAGAACCTAGAATTTGAGGGGACAAGGTTTAATGGTACGTTCAAGATTATCCTCAACTTATGTTTTTTCAAAAATATTAATCTCTGTGATTTGTTTGCTACATGACAACTTTCTTTCTCTATTCACGTGCATAAGTGTTTTCCCTGTGTGAAGATTTTCTGCATTTTGACACTTGGTGTGTACTTTGTTGTAAACACATATTATCTTGATACTTGTTACCACTGTTTGCATCACACTGTAAATAATATGGCAAGTTCAAAGATTGACATAGAAATTTGGAATGCTAAGGGTGATTGTAATACCCAGACCAGGAAAGTTTAAAAGATTTGATAGGTACTACTCATACCAACAAGGTGCACCTTCTTTTCTGGAAGTCCATCGTTAGAAACTCTACAGTTAAGCGTGCTTGACTTGGAGTAATTCTATGATGGGTGACCCCCTGTGAAGTTTTCTCGGGGAGCGTGCGAGTGAGGACAAAACATGCTGTAAAGACCCATGTTGGTACAGTGGGGACAGTACGTCGTCGATCTAACGACCGGGACAGCCCGTTATGTTTCATACAAGAGAACACATATTGAAGAACAAACTGTTGACCTTGAAAAATGGTTCCGACACGTGGTTAACAGAATGAAACTCCACGTAAGCTCCTCCCTGTGCACGGTAGCACACTATTAGTCACTCGTGGCCTTTTTCGATGGGGGTGAAAGCCACCGAGAGCACTCCGACGGTCAAGTCAGTATTTCGTTCAATCGGAAGGTGGTGCCTAGTGGTGAAGTGGTCACCGGGACATGGTTAAGAATGTGCGTAAATATATTGGAAAGGCTCTTTAGAGTTAAAAGACTAGAATGCAAAGATTAGAGTTGCAACCTCTTACTCTTACCAGTATGTGGGCATTTATACTAAAAAAGGGAAGGGGTGGACTGTTGGATGAAAAGACACGTAGCTTTAGATCCCGTATGAGTCATCTTCTCACAGGCATCAATCCGTCAATCCATAGGTTGGTGGACATTAAATGGTTTCTGAAATATCAGTTGAGTTGACCATTTGAAGCCTGTCACACGTCCCATTAATCAGTCAGGAGCTTGACTTGAGGGATCTCCTAAAAGATCTTGGCGAGGGTGTGGCACGGAGGATTACGAAGTACAATGAGTGCAGAGTACGGGCCTTTGCATCCGTTGTGAAGGGGCGGATAAGTTCGGGTCTTCCAACGAGTAGGGTAATTGTAGTTCAGTTCGGAGCTATGGGATCAGTTCGTCCGACATGGATTCAGTTTGTCTGCTACGTGGTGACACCAGAATAGTTCGTCCACACTGGCGGATGAGGTAGATGGACGAGGTGGAGGGCCTCAAAGGGCTCGTAACACAAACAACAAAATCCAAAGATCTCTTGATTCAATCACGAATTCAAAACATCAAAATCCC